ATCCTCGTTATGTAGGCAGTAGGCACACGTGAGGCCCGATTGCGTGTGCGCCACGTATGAAAAGAGACTGGCTGTTACTAGATTGAGGGAATTGTCCCGGTGTAGGAAAATTGGATCCAGCAATCAAACGACGCACCCGGCAAACGTTAGGTCGTTATCGTTCGAGCTTTGATTCGAAGAGATATGGTAGGAAAATATATGTTTAATGTAACTTAAGTTTGTAGGCACTTCTAAAAATCTATAGATTTTTTTTTTATTGTTACGGATGCAAACGAGCAGACGGTCCATCTGATGGAAAGCGGCTACCGTTGCCCATAAACACCTGCAACACGAGAGTTGCTTATGCGTTGCCGGCCTTTTAAATGTTAGACACGTTTTTTTTTAAATTCTCCATATTATATTGTAAAGGGAAAATTGACGGGAGGTCATTCCACAATCCAGATGTACAAGGTAGAGTATATAATTAGTGTGGTCATTTATAATGGATAAAAAACATAAGATGGAAGAGAAGGAAAATTTAAAATAAAATCCTATAACAAACCGTTTGACCGCTATGACAGTAATAGTAGGCTTAAAGGGATATAGGAATAGTTTTTTAGGAAGAAATCTAAGTCCAGCAGTGAAACTTTAATTGATTTTATGATTATGATGATTATATTTATGAATCATCTTTATACTGGAATTTTCTTACAAGGTTAGTGTCGCAAACTTTTAAATTTTGATGTCTGCGTAAGTAATGGAGACTAGCGGCTCTATTACTAATCAAGTCGACCTCCTGAAAAACCATTTTCATAAAAATCATCTTTGTGTCTCAGAAGTCATTGTGTGTGTATGATATTACCATCACGGTGTAATAGGGATGCATAATATATGCAATGGCGTAGAGATATTTAAATTTCGGATGTGTGTATGTGTATATATGTAGTTACATAAATATATACACGTGTTTGATTGTAAGTTAAACCGGACATACAGATAATCGGCGCAGTGAACGCTTTGATTTGATTTTATTAAAAAAAAAACTTTTGGTATTACTGAAAATAATCTAATTCGTATCGAATTCATATTACTAGTAATAAGGTAAGGTTTTCTAAGTAAAACAACAGAAACTTAGGAATAAAATGTGGATTCACCTACTGTTTGTGTGCTATAAACTACCAGGAGAGCAGAACAGTGTAGCAGTATAATAGAATTCTAACTAGACGATGTTTATACATGGAAGATATTTAAGAAAAAAAATATGATGGGACTTATATTTATAATTATAAGACCAATAAAAGCCAAAACAATATTTTTAAACAGTTTGTCTCTATCTGTATGTTTATTCCGGCATCACGCAAAAGCTATTGTACGAAATTGGATATTGTTTTTACAATTGTATTTCTGAAAGTCTCACTTCTCTTCCATGTACCACATTGTATAAATATACATATATATATATGATTTATCTTATATATCTCACAGATTATATAAGTCCATAAATACTATGCTTTAGCATAAAATATCTACTGAAATTGGCGGATGTTTGAACATCCCTGATTAAAAATATAGCATCTACTGAAACCATTGGTTTTACTTAAAAAAATAAATTAATAATTAAATAAGGAAAATAATCATATATAAGAATAAACAATAACTAGAAATTATAATTAAAAAGCAAGGGAGGGTGGGTCACTACAAATTTACCATACTTTTTGATGTAGTTTTACACCTGAAAGGATTTTTAGAGATGAACCAGTCTGTTATATTCTCTAATAAATAGCATTTTTATCTTATTAAGATGGTAAAATTTAAATTACGATACAAGTGACTTAGATACTTATATACTTTATATAAACCTCAATCTTTTAGGATAGCAGTCTGTCAGTTTTTATTATTATTTGTGACAGCTAGTAGATAAATTATACAAAATTTTTTAGAAAACGTAATAAGAATGACTTTTAAAGTTATAGATAGGTAAATAAAATTTTAATAAAGGTTTAATAAAATAAAATAAAAAAAAAAAAAAAAAATAAAAAAAAGTAAAACAATTACGCATTAATTGTTCCCAAGACTTCACACTAGGGTTCCCTGTATCGTGTATTCGTGGACACTTTTATGCTTACAAATTTATGTTGTTATTGTTGTCAAACTGACATCGCAACAAAGTAAACAAACTTAACTTGTTTTAACTTATTTTAATTATATATTAATTAGTAATTAATTTAATGTTCTAATATATATATATATATATATATATATATAATTTAATTTTATATATATACATATATATATATATATATATATATATATATATATATATATATATAAAATCTTGTACGAAATAATCAGCGAAACATCAGTGTATAACTATCGACACAGTCATGTCATCCGATGACATTACGAGCTATCCCGTGCAGTTCCTTAAGTCTTTAGAGTTATCTAGGGTGGATGACATAAGTTGAAATTAAAGGTAGGTGTATATGTTTTGTCAAAGCGTAACCTGGATGCGCCAAGTTTATGTAACGGTACTAGATTGCTAGCCACCAAGTTAGGAAGGCATACTGTAAAGCCCACAACCTTAACTGGAGAAGCCAAGGAAGACAATGTTCTTATATCACGCATCCTAATCATACCCAATAACTTGCCATTTAATTTTAAACGTTTGCAGTTCCAAAAATTGCATTTTCAATGACTCACAACAAATCAAACCTTAACGGTAGCAGGCATATATTTGGGCACGCTATGTTTTTCCCACGGCCAACTCTACATGGCTTGCTCGCGCGTTTCTAAATCGTATAATCTGCATGTTTATGCGAATGAAAAAATTGTTTAACATAGTTTATAGGATTATATTGCAGTAGTTACCTATAACTTTTGCATTACCATCAATCATCATATACATCTATCCTCACAAACTATAGCGTTTACAATACCTATTAGTAAGACCATTATCAAAAGTACTTAGTTTCAATTTACAACCATTACACAATATAGAACAAGGGTCTCTCAAAGTAACTATGTCGGTCTGTTATGCCTTCATGACTAAACCACAGAACAATTTTGATGAATTTTGGTATAAAGATACATAGGAGAAGAAAATAAGCTACTCGAAGTACTAATCTTGCTTAGATGAAGCTGCGGTCACTAGCCATTAATATTATATTATTTATTCAACTTTGTATAGCAAAACAATTAATGCAAAAGTTGGGATAATAAACATTTTAATATCACAATTGAATATATATATATATATATATAATTTCCAGCCATCCTTTAATTGACTGCCCAGGATAAAACTAGTGTCAAATTAGCCTTTGAAAATGCTCTACATGGAGAAACTGGTCAGGTAATTAAATAACCTTGTTTTGGAAGAGTACTAATGTTTTTCTAATAATAACAATATATATACATATACTCATATACAAATATAATTTACATAGAACAATAAAAATACTTTTGAAAAGATAAGTATTTATATCAACATTAAAATGTAAAAAGAATCTGTTTTCAAATTGTATAAACACAACCATTTTACATAAGAATAAAAAACTTGTTCCTGTGGAATAAATATATGTAAGTATAAATAAATAAATAATAAATCATAATCTCTTTCAATAGAACTTAATGAAAAGGTAAACAACAAAATAAAATTAGTAAAAAATAAAAATGTTTAATCAATATTTTTTTTGTTTATTAGATGTTAGTCTTATGGTTAGGGCAAATATTTGTTTGTTTATATTTTCAATAAATTTTATTAAAATAGATTATAGCACACATATTTAATTATATTTTAGTCCTCAAGTTAAGATATTTTTATTTTGATAAAATTATGGCAATTTATTTTTAATAAGTGTATTTTGGGGTAGAAGCCACTCGAAATATCTATTTGAAGTAAATATATTAAATCAAATGCTATACTGACATAAGTCAGTTTCAGTATAGCATTCCATGTCATATCGTGAGTGATCAGTGAATTAGTTAGGATCATTATTTACTTTAAATTTATCAGGACCATAAATTATATAATATTTAAATGATAAAGTATCATAACCATTATTTTAGGCATTTCTACTCTACTTTTTTTATGTAATATAGAATGGTATACAAATTTATAAGAAGTGGGATTGCATATATATAGTATAGACCAGTGTTTTTCAAAGTGTGGGCTGCGACCCTTTGGGGGGTTCCCAAGCCTCAACAATGGGGTCGCAAAAGGTCTTAAAGTAGTGAAAAATCAACAGTTCCATAAATACATCAATCAATTAATAATACATAATGAAGTATCTATAACAAACATTTATTTACATTGTCTGTTTTAGATACTTTATTATGTATTATTTATTTTATTTTATCCATATCTAACTGTAAATATAAATACAACTGTACGGATTTCATCATTGTACTATAATAAAATTCATACACATTAGAAACCATAGAAGGTAGGGTCGCAAGATATTTTTAGATAATAAGGGAGTCATGTCATGAATAAGATTGAAAAACACTAGTATAGACAGAACAAGAACAGAATCATGAACCTCAAAGAATATATGATGCTCCCTGTGGTAGTGCCACTGCTATGCAAATGCATTCCTAAATATTATTATGAAGATTGAGAAGATCCAAGTCTCCTTACCCTAATATTTCACTACCATATGTACATGGGAAATATATACCCAGGTACATAATTTTTATACAGTTTTTCTCTAGTAAACTATGTTATTCATAAGTATTAAAATTGAAAAGATTTAGTTTTTACTCTAATAAGTCTCAGCATTTTTTAATATAACTTTTCATGATATTAACAATATACAGTAATGTAGTTGGTTGGCTTTGATAGTGCATGAGAACATATAATAGAATAAGCATGTTCATACAAAATAATTTGTTTTCTATTTTAGGTAACCACTAATCTTAATAAATTGCTAACATTAGTGGTTATATACACTTTCACAACAGTGTATGGTATGGTTACTTTGTAATAAAAGGCAAAAAGCTTTATTAAAATAGAATAATCTTACCTCATTTTGGTCCAATTCTTGTAAATGTCTGTCATTCCGTTGTTTTTCATAGAAAGCGCGGGCAAGAGCACTTCTTGGTCGGTAAAATCCATTTGTTCCAGCCATATTAGCCAAATTTCCAGTCTGAATACAATCCTCTAAGGAAGATGATTTCCAACAATTTGTTTTTGGTTTTATATCTTTTGTTTTGTCATAACCACAGGATGGAGGGCTTTCCTTGTGGTGATAAACGAACGAATCAGTTTCGTAAATACTTATTGCTTCTAAGTAAAAAGTTGAAAAGTATAGAGCTAAACAAATAGTTCTACGATATGAATAGAGCATTTAAGATGACTTTTCATTGCAAAAATAATTAAATTATAAGAGTAAAGGTTAGAATTGAGCTTACTTTAAATATTTGGTACAATTCACATTGTAAACATTATATAACTTTAATCACAGTTAAATTTATAATTATTTTCTAATATACAGACACTTAAATAACATTTTTTATTGAATATTGAAGCCCTGGATTATAATAAAAACATTGTTTTGCTACGAACAAGTAATAGGAGTTATCAAATGTCAAAAAGGTTCAAGAAACAGCTGACAGATGACGCTAAATTGACATAAAGCATTTACGAAGTCCTATAGAAAAATGTTATTCTTGAATTGTAAAGATGTTGTAAAGTGTAAAAGTAAATTAAATATTTATAGATATTTTTCTCTAACATTTAAACTGTTTGGGATTTTAAATATTATTTATGTTTGTTTTACAAAAATAGTTAATTCAAAATTTGTAATTTTAATGTCATTCTAGTGAAATACCTCTAGTGAATATTTATACCTACCATGAATAATAGTAAGTAAAAACTAGTAAAAATACTAAATATGTAATACTAAAATGCACAAATGAAATTACAGTCGCAGTTAGACCCAAATAATTTGTTTCACGCATTGTTGAGATTTTCTTTTTTTCATGTACCTACTAATAGCGTGTGACGATTGAACATATGTATTTAACCGAAATTATTTTTGTGCCAATAAACTGCTTAGTAAATTATTGTTATTCTATTTTTCGGGTAATGCTGATATTTTTCTGATTATTTTAAATTAAGGTACAATATCTTTACTCGAAACCGAATGTTTCTTAGTTCTTACATTTAAGTACTACCAATTTTTCTATTTAGGACAAAATTTTAGATCTGGTGTATAAAATATTAAACACACATTTTTAATTGAATATTAATTATTTATTCTACCTACATTAATAAAAAACTAACATAAAATGTTTTATAGGTAGACACAGGCAGGTAGTGTGCATATTTAGAAGCAAAATGTAGAGTACAAGATTCTGTGTATAACATTTTGAGTCAAAATAATCTAATAGGTACACAGTTTGTTGTGTTAAATATGAATAATCATACCAATTCTTGTTTGGCCTCCACCGATGCTTTCGCAACAATCTCTCGGAGGATTGAGTTCAACATTGTTGCTTTCACTGATTGTTACCGTAAGTTCTTGGTATGTACACTAATAAGACGCGTAACTAATGTTCTAGAATTGTAAACGAGATGAACGTACGTCCACTAGATTGCTGTATATAAAAGCACTGCGAACTTCCCGGTGTTTTGTTGCGGTGAGAGGTATTTTTACCTAGTGTTAAGTTCATAACAAGAATCCCGGTTCGGCCTTGGCCGTGACTGACCGTTCACTGTCACCGCTCCGCATGACCAACTCCGAAGACTCTTATTAGATGCCGATAAAAATAATAGAATTTTTGATACTTAATACAAGTAGGTAAATAACTTTTTAAAAATGTATTTTCAATTGCCAGATTAGTTATGGTATGTCGTAATTTTTTTTTATTTAACACTATGTTTATAGTGCGTAATTATTTTGGATATTAGGTAAGCAGGCATCACTGCCTGACTATTAGGTATCTAATCTAAATTTGTGATGACAGAAATAGAAAATATGATTAAGAAGGTATAAAATATTTATTATTATAGTACTGATATGGTGCTGCAGATTATGTAGTTACATTTTATTTAAGATTATATTGTGTTAAACCTTAGTAAAGTAATTTTCTGCAATTATCATTTGATTAGACATTATAATTGAAGATATGAAAATTTTGTGTGTAGTATCTGAATATATACACATATATTTCCAGGTTAAAATTTAATATGTAGCCAAGAAACAAGTCTTAAATAAATTACATTTAATTATCGAGGTAAAGTACCTAATAATTTTCAAACCAGAGAAAGACTGTACAAAAATTTATTGCTTGGGTGCCTCTGTCCCATTCGTGTTTCTGCCGTGAAGCAGTTGTGTTTGTATGGCTGTTTTTCGGTTTGAGGGTGGGATATGGCGTGAATTTACAGGGTACAGAGGAATAACATCTGAGTCCCCATGAATGGCAACGCATGGGGGGTATCATGGGCGTAATAGTATACTCTGTTATGTCCATGGTACTGTTCATGTCTATAGGCGATGGTTACCACTTGTTTGCCATTCTAAGTTGTATAAAAAAAATCTCGATACCAAACATCTGGATGTATCCCAGATCATTCATATAACATAAGGCAATTTTGCTTTCCTTCACATAAAGAAACGACTGCGTTATAGAGATTGTATTCATGAAAAACGTATACTTATATGCCATAAGATATTATCTATAGATTACTAAGTAATACTAATAATAAACGTTTATTTGTAAGCTCCAGTTATATAAAATACAGTTTACAGTGTGAAACCAAGAAATCATAGTTTCTTAAAAAATATACATGTGTTTGTTGAAGCAACACAAAAAGGCCACAACTCAGTGTGTAATTTGGCCTTATTGGACAAAACACTGATTTTCTGCTATGAATATAATAATCAGTTAATGGATGCGTTTGCTAAGTCATACAACGTTATAAATATGTAACAAATCATGTACATGAAAATATAATAACATAATTAACCAATAATTAATTAATAATGTGTGTATATATCTATTTTAGTTAATATACGAGTATTTTTTTTTAATGGGTGATAATGGAATGGTAATCCCACCCGCGCTGGCGGTATACACCGGCGGGGCACCAGTGAAGGATGATAAATGAGGATGAAGCAGGTCAGATAGCCCATCGTGACGAATTCTACAAGAACGTGAACAATCACGATGGTTTCCAGGGGGAACCACGTGGAGGTCGACCTAATAGGGCATATTGCTAGCAATGGGGCCATCATACTCCATTGCTAATAATACCTTTTCCCCCTATATACGAGTATTAGGTTATAATATAGATTAAGAACAGTATAAGATAGACATTATCAGAGTTATATTTATCTAAGGATGTCACTTGTTGTCCCACAGACAACTTCACGTTTATTATGAAATACATTTGACATGATTGCAGATAGGTTTAAAACGTGTTACATATAAACAATGCACTAATAAAAAAGAAATGTGTAAGGTACTTACATCGTCATTGATAGATGGTACGTGCGGCTGGTGGTAGCTGGGCATTTTTTTTTAATTTAGACGTTTGTTACCTACGTACCTATTGACACAGCTATTGACTTGAAGTGAGTGATATAATAAGTTGTATTTATCGTATAAGTATATACTCGTACGTTTACATTGGAAGATAATGTCAGTAACGATAATCTAAGATATCGTGACCTGTTTTATTAACACTTAATATTTCTGATTATGCATGTGTATATATGTAGGTAAACGTAGGTAGTCTGTTATTTAAAATATCTATTTGGGTATTAATATAGAATTAGATTTATATTACCAAGTTTATTAAATCCCCAATATAGAAGATAGATAATAGTTTTGAAATAAATTGTATAAGCATCTGATGCATGCGACTGCATGGTAACAGCATCTGACGGCGCTTATAGATATCTTTTGATTAAAACTTGAACAAGTGAACGCTCTGAAATACAGGAACACTATTATTCCGGCCATTATTATACTAGGCCATTAAAAAGCTTGTATTTCATAAATGGTACGAATTCAGCTTGGTTGTAGACTTAGTGTAGGTGGTATACACTCAGGATGCACCAGGCTTTGAAGGTCCAGTCAAAATATAAAGAAAAGAAATCAGAACATCACAATGGCGCCGATCTATTATAATATACTCGTATAAAACTACACCATCTCACTATTTTATATATCAGGGGTGGTCGACTTGACTAGACCCAAGATCTAGTGTTTATTGACGGAACTCTGTGCAATCTACCAATTACATGCTTTTTGAAATTTCAAATGAAACAACATAGTTCAGTTTTTATTTTGTTAAGAGGGATTATGAAGAGAAAACTGAAAATTATTCTTAGTAATTACTTTTTTATATTAGTGTAAGCATTGTGTCTGAGCATCTTCAGCTAGATTAGCAAAATATTGTATTTTTTACCTGGCCACGATCGACTGGACTAATAGTCGCTATCGACCACCCCTGTTATATATAATGTGTCATTATATAAATCGTTATGAAATGTCGAGGGGTCCAGGGAGTTCCAAACAGAAGGCAAGTCGTTCACCAAAATAGGTACAAAACAGCAACTCGTCACATAGCGATTTTTTTAAGGATGATAATGGAATAGTTACTTCACCTGCGCTAACGGTATACGCTGGCGGGACACCAGTGAGAGATGATAGGCGAGGATAAAAAAGGCAAGTAAATTAGCCCATCGTGATGAATACACTTGGAATTCAGCATGATAGTTTCCAGAGGAACCACGGGGAGGATAACCTGGTTATACCCAATATATTGCTAGCAATAGGGCCATTACTAACAATCCCTTCCCCCTTGTCACTTGGCGGTTCACAGCAAACACTAGACTGCTTCGACCATTTTTTCTGTTTGTCTTAGGTTAGGAAACGTGATAGAATAAAACAATATTTATAGGGTTGTGACTTTCTTAAACAAACGCATTAACTCTTTTCTTAAAAGAAAAGTATTCTATGGTTTTTTTTTCTAGACATCTTAGAATGACAAATTAGATTCTATTTACCATTCTTTCTACCATTTTACCCTTTTTAAGTTGTTGCTTGAGGGCCCACTCATTGAACAGTGATAACGTAAACACAAGAACAACAGTTCTAGTTACATGCATCTAAATGTATCAGATTTGCTGGTTTATGCTATGGATTCTTCTTCCATTTTTACGGCTCCTGAGATCATATATTGCATGCATATCTATTACTTGCCCTAGCCGTGCGATTGCTCTTTGATTTTCTCTTTTTTTCTCTTTTGATTATCTCATGATTTTCTAGAATCTTTTGCTCGACCCGCTATTAATTACTAGCTGTATTCCGTGGCTCAGTTTGCGTGAATCAGTATATAAAGTACTTTCTGTGCTAAGTAAGGACATACCCTACCTGCGTACCAAATTTCATTCAAATTCGTTCAGTAAATTACGAGTGAAAGAGTAACAAACACAAGTCCATTCATACATTTTATAAACTTTTGCATTAAATGTATTATATGGGTTATAGAACTATCCTGCAAGTGTCTGTGAATTGGGATGAAAGTATAACCTGTGATATGGACTTGACTCTTGTGCATCAAA